CCCGCAACCCCCGCCCCTGCCCCCCAGAAGCGGTATTTTTCAGGAGCCGGGCCAGACGTACCTTGAAGGCGATGGGCAGCGTCTTGTTGCAGCGCCAGTGGGTGGGCAGCACGGAGCAGAGGAAGTTGGGGCTGTCGGTGCGCACCAGCTCCCCGGGGTGATCGGCCAGGACCTCCACCATGCTGCGGTCGGCGCTGCGCAGCTTCCCCGGTAAGGCGCCGCTGTGGTCGGCGCCGGGCAGCGGCAGCGGCTCTGTCATCTTCCCCGGGCTCAGCGTGGTGGAGGGCGGCGTGAAGCGGCGGCTGGTGCTGGTATCTACGGGGATACGCATCACAACAAGCCTTTTGAGTGAAAGACCTCCACAGAGTTTTTACAAAACAGCGAAACGAGCGTAACTCTTCAGCGATCTGCTCTCTGGGGACCAACATAAACGGATACGGGCTGAGGACCCCGGGGGGAAACTTGTTTCTACGCCAGTCCCCAAAGTTAATTTTTTGCTGAAGGCGGCTGAGATAGATAGCGAGCACGCCGAGACTTAACTCTTGGCGTCCTGGCGCTGAGGAACAGATCACGTTAATCCGATAAGGCAAAGGGTCGTCCGTGCGGGGCTTTACCGCGACGCCCGGGCATCCAAGGCTGCGGCCGTGCCACCAAAAGTGACCGAAGAAGGGAAAGCTCCTTCCGAACTCCCAGGCAAAAAATAAAATGACGCGAGTCAAACAGAAGACGGGGTCAGAAACACACGCAAAGCCTGGGCTTCCCAGAGAGTCAGTCAGTCGCCTATCAGTTTCTTCCAGGTGATTTCTCTACAGTCCCAAGGGAAAAACAAACACATCAGCGTCTTCCGTAGGAAAAAAAAAATAAAAAATCGCTCTTTAAAGAGAGGGAAATTCGGGGTCAGTCTTCAGAGAAGGCGGTACGCGAGCTAGACTTTCTGATCAAAGGTCAGCTGGCTACGGCTGTATATATATTCACGTACACACGCGCACACACACATATACTGTACTTCATAAAATATTTACAATAGAATCTGTAGAGAATTTAAACACAACAGGAATCCATTAATGTTCTCGGCAACGTTTTTGTTTCTTTTTTTTTTTTTTTTTAAAGCAGCCTTGAAAATCAGCTTCAGTAGTTTGGTTCGCGTCGCTCTAAGAGTACTCGTGTCATGACCTTTCAATCGTTCTTGCGCAAAAAATAAAAAAAGAAAAGCAGCTCAGTGCATGTCATTCAAGCTTTAAATCTCTATCTTGGAACTTGTCTTTGGTACAAAGTCTTTCATCAGTTTAAAGAAAGGTCGCAGCCGATCGCAAGCTCTGAGGCTAAAAGGTCCACAGCTGAAAACTTGGGTTTGGGGATGTTGGTTAAATTGTGGGTTCTCTCTGTGGTTTTGTGTGTGCAACAGCGCTCTCTCTCTCTCACTCACGTCCTCCTCAGCAGTCAAACCAACAGTCTGCAACAACTTCGGCACTCATTGCCAATTCTTTTTTTTTTTTGGTATCTGAGGCAGTCTTCCTCTAATTCGGCCACAGGAACCGGCTGCTTAACAATATTTTAACCGCAGCAGGTGGAAGCCCGCTTTAGGAAACATGGCTTTTCTCTCTGGCCGCCTCCAGCCAGCGGGATGGATCCCGCCAGCCTGCGCGGAGAGCCCCCACGCACACGCACACACTGAAAAACCAAAAGCGACCAACCAGCAACAATTATAAAAAAAAAAAACAAAATAACCCACGATTTGGAAAAAAAAAATAAAAAAAGTAATAATAAGCCACTACTTTTGAAGGAGTGAAAGCTTTCCTTCCGCAAAGTGAGGAGGCGGCGGCCGGCGGGGGTGGAAGGAGCCGCTAACCCCCCCGGAGAGAGACGGAGAGAGAAGCCGGGGAAGCTCGAACCCCCCCCCCCAAAGTTGCCAGCCGGGGGTTCAGAAGTGCCAGCAGCCTCCGGCCCGGGCGGCCGCTCGGAGAAAGCGCATTTCCACAGCCGAAACCTCTCGCTCGGGTCTTCACGCGGGGAACGCAGGCTTCCTTCGCCGACCGACCGGGACACCGGGGAAGGGGGTGGGGGGGCCGGGCCCTGCCTCTCCCGCTCCTCGTTCCGCACCCGGGCTGGGGGTCCCCGCCGCCGCCGCCGCCGGTATGAATGGAGGTGGCCGGGCGCGAGCGCCGCCCCGCCGCCCTCCCGCCGCCGCCGGTATGAATGGAGGTGGCCGGGCGCGAGAGTCGGCTGCGGCGGGCGGCGTGCGGAGGAATGTCATTCCCCCGGCTGCTTTGCATACGGGGAGGGCGCCGGCCAATCACCGCCCTTCCCGGCAGCAGCCAGGGCGCGGCCGCGGGCCAGGGGGCTCCTGGAATTGGCGCGCCCGCCGCCGCCGCCGCTACTGTTGGGGCGCGGGGGGTGAGCGCCGGGTCGGCGGGGACACCACCGCACCCACGGGAGGATGGCGGGATGCCCCTCCACCCCCTCCTCGCCCAGCCCACCGCAAAGGACGCTCCTTCCCACCGTGTGCGGGGAGGGCTCCGCGGTTTGCCCGGGGGAGGGGGCGCGTTAGGGCAGCCAGAGCGGCGCGACCTCCCCGCCGCCCCACTCCCACGGCTGCGTCTCGCCGTGCCGCGGTCCCGCTTGCACTTCGTTTAGGGGCCAGGCCGCCCCGAGGAGCAGAGGGTGCCCGCAAGGTGGCCGCAGCGCCCGCAGACGACGCCCCGGCCTTCGCCCGCGCCCCCCCTCGGGCGAGCTTCCCCCGGTGGGGTTTGCCCCGGGGTGTTTTCACCCCGCGGAGAGGGTACACCCGGAACCGGCGGGCCCCGGGGCAGCCGCTTGCCGGGCTGTCGTCCCCCGCCCGCCTCGCTGCTTCCCGTCGCCGCGGACAAGGAGGCGGCCCCGAGGGTCGGGGCAGCCGCGGGGCCCCCAGCCGGAGGACATCCCCCCCTCCCCCGGTACCGGCACAGCCCAGGGCGGGGGGGGGCGGGGGGGGGGGCAGCGGGCCGCCCCCCGGGGAGGGCGGCCGGTGCCCGCTGCCGTCAGCACCGCCCTTCCCCGCCAGAGCCCACGGAGGGCTGCGGTCCCGCGGGGGACGGGACCCACCCTGGGATGTGGCTCCAACGGGGACGAGCCGCTTTGCCCGACGGCTGCCCGGGACCCCCTGGTACCCACCCCCGCCCCACCGCCGCCGGCTGTCCCCCACCCCGGGGTGCGCAGGGGAGGGGACAGAGGGGACACTGGGTTTTGCCGACACCCGCTTTGGAAACGCTCCGGAGTCGGGGGGGGAGAAAAAAAGTATTCGGTACGCGTTTTGGCATCCGCGCCAGGCGCGGACGGGAGCGGGGAGCGAGCTCCTGCCGTTTGCGCTCCTGCTTTACGCGCAATTAAGCCGAAATCAGGCTGAGCACCCGGGGGGGGGGGATGGCGGGATGCCCCTCCACCCCCTCCTCGCCCAGCCCACCGCAAAGGACGCTCCTTCCCACCGTGTGCGGGGAGGGCTCCGCGGTTTGCCCGGGGGAGGGGGCGCGTTAGGGCAGCCAGAGCGGCGCGACCTCCCCGCCGCCCCACTCCCACGGCTGCGTCTCGCCGTGCCGCGGTCCCGCTTGCACTTCGTTTAGGGGCCAGGCCGCCCCGAGGAGCAGAGGGTGCCCGCAAGGTGGCCGCAGCGCCCGCAGACGACGCCCCGGCCTTCGCCCGCGCCCCCCCTCGGGCGAGCTTCCCCCGGTGGGGTTTGCCCCGGGGTGTTTTCACCCCGCGGAGAGGGTACACCCGGAACCGGCGGGCCCCGGGGCAGCCGCTTGCCGGGCTGTCGTCCCCCGCCCGCCTCGCTGCTTCCCGTCGCCGCGGACAAGGAGGCGGCCCCGAGGGTCGGGGCAGCCGCGGGGCCCCCAGCCGGAGGACATCCCCCCCTCCCCCGGTACCGGCACAGCCCAGCCGGTGGCCGGGCCTGCCGGCAGCACTGCCGGGGGTGAGGCCGGACCGGCGGACGGGCAGAGCCGCACGGGCCGCAACGGGCCGCCGGCGCC